TCTCGGAGGTCCGACAGATGATCTTTCTGAAGTTTAGACTTGACAATCATATCATCAATATATGCCTCGCTCCCAATCTGATCAAAGAACACAGTGTTTATCATTCGCTGGAAAGTGGCCGGGGCATTCTTAAGACCAAACGGCATGACCGTGTAACAGTATAACCCCTGATCAGTGACGAAGGCCGTCTTCTCCTGATCTTTCTTCCATAAAGGAATTTTATGGAAACCAGAGTAGACGTCCATAAAGCTCATCAAAGCATGGCCGGCTGTTGAGTCGACCAGGTTATCAATTTTAGGCAGAGGGTAACTGTCTTTGGGGCACGCCTTGTTTAAGTCTGTGTAGTCTACACACATTCGCCAGGTGCCATTCGGCTTTTTAACAAGCACCACATTTGCAACCCAGTCTGGGAAGTAACATTGCCGAATGAACCCTGCATCAAGTAATTTTTTAACTTCGGCGGCTGCCGCCTGACTTCGTTCTTCGCCATGGTTCCGCTTCTTCTGCCGTACCAGCTTCTTTTTCGAATCCACGGCCAGTTTATGTACCGCCAGATCAGGACTAATGCCTGGCATTTCATGGACTTTGAATGCAAAGATGTCCTTGTATTCTTTCAATAGTTTGTGCAAGTCGTCACCCAGGTCCCTTAGAGCAGTCGTCCCAACCTTGATTGTTCTGTCAGGACGCGAGTCATCTAAGATCAGGTCCGTATGCTCACCAGCTGGCTGAGGGCGGAATTCATCCAACCGCTCCTCTGCCAATGATTGCTATTTTCTGTCTTTTCTTGCGGCCCCCGTCTGGGATGCCTTTCTCTTCTTGCAGCCTGCTTCTTGAACAGGCGCATTCTCCTTGACATTGTCAAGGTCTATTTTTTTACCTCTCGACCCAGTGGCCATAAAAGTGGGCTTGACATCCGAGAGATAGCACTCTTGGGCCATCCTCTGATCTCCCCTTAGGGACCCGACTGTTCCATTATCCCTCTCAAACTTGAGCAACATAAGAGATGGGATTATAACAGCCTTGGAATTATTCAGGGTTGGTCGTCCCAGAATCATGTTGTAGGCCGAGAGTTCTTCTACTACCAGGAACCGGACTACCATGTGTCGTCCTTCCCCTTTTTCGCCCAGGCGGATGGATAAATCCACTCGTCCCACTGGGTGGACTCCTCCTCCTCCAAACCCTACTAAAGGGTGGGATGCCGGATGTATGCAATCAGTCTGATATTTTAGTTTCGACAGACATTTGCTACTGATGAGATCTGAGGAGCTTCCGGTATCTATGAGGATTCGGCCAACTCTTTGGTTGGCCACTTTACATTCAATAACGATAGGGTCGTCATGCGGCCCTCTTACCCCTCCTAGATCTTCTTCAGTGATGACAATCTCAGGAAATGAATATTTGGAGGGCCGTTCTTGGTGAACGGAATTTAAATCTAACCGTCTGATATTGTCTTTGTTGCCCCTAATAGTGGGGCCGCCTCCTGAGAAGTCGCCTGCAATGGTGTAGACGACTGCATCATCTGTATCGGAGCTGTCGGCCTGTTGATTCTTTTTGGCCGACTGCTTTTTCGAGGAAGTGTTCCCCGTAGATTTCTTGACATAAGTGTCAAGATCACCTTGCTCAGCCAGGTGGTCCAGATACCGCATGAGACTGATGCATTCATTGGTGTGATGACCAACATCTTCATGATAATCATAGAATTTTTCTTGGTTCCGGTTGTTTGCAGAACCCTTCATGGGGACCGGCTTCTCAATTGAGATCTGTCCCTTGATTTCCTTTAGATAAATTGGCTATCCTTGTTAAACGCATACTTTGGGGAGTATGGTTTGAATTCTTTTTTCTTCTTCTGGGCCGGCTGTTTAGAGGAATCAGCCGCCCAGACCTCTTTTCTCTTCTCGTCTTTGTTTGACGACTGTTTCTGTCGTCCTTCTCTTTTGTCGGACCTTCTCCCGTCTGACTGTTTTACCGTACTACAAAGATCAGTCGCCTGTATATAGGCTTCCGCTTCAATCAAGGCCTCTTGAAGAGTCGCCACCCTCTTTCGGACCAAATCAAATTTGAAGGTCGACCCGTCTTTGAGACCTCTGAAAAAGTCAGTATAGGCTACTTCATCCGGTAACCCTTGAATATGTATTCTCATCAGGTTAAACCGCCTGATGTAAGAACGAAGCCCCTCCTTCTCGCCCTGCTGAATTGTTCCTAAATCAAGGGTCGTCTTCTTCACAGGGATGTTCATGGCGAAGTTGGAGGTGAATAAGTAAGCAAGCGTCTTGAAGTTATTTACACAACCAGTCGGCAGGTTGCCAAACCATTGTTGTGCGATTCCTTTGAGAGTCGCTGGGAAACACTTGCACCAAGTGGGATCATCCAACCCTTGAAGGTACATCAGGTTAGTGAATGCCATCAGATGGTCTTCTGGGTTAGTAGTGCCGTCATAGGCGCCTACTAATACATTTTTCACTTTGGCCGGCTGAGCGGCTTCAGTAATTTCCTTGGAGAAGGCCGACGGCTGTTCACCAAGTCTAAGCAACCGTAGCTGCCAGTCCATAGGTTGGACATTTTTTGTTGCATGTCCACCAAACGGAGGTGGCTGTAAAAAATATTGTTGTTGCGGTACAAACGGTAAGTTTGGTACCGCCTGGTCGCTATGAAAGCCGGACTGACGGGAGGTGCCGCCTGACTGACTCTCATGATACGACTAAGTATGCCTCATCGAGGTATTTCACAGACTGTCTTGGAAGTATGAAGTAGAGGCCGACTCTGACAATCGGTCACTCTTCTTCTGCTCAGCAGTAGCCGAGCGTCTGTGTATGTTTTCCTCGACCCGTCCGCCTGAATATGACGAACAGGTTTCCTATTTCCTGGAGTAGGAAAACGGTATTTTGTGAAATCAAGGGCAGGTGGCTCCCACTTCCTAGATTTAGGATGAGGGGTTGCCTCTCGCCCTTGAACTGGCTTCCTCTTCCGTGAAGTGGAGGGTTTCTTAGCCGACTGCTCCTTGTCCAGAGCAGGCGGCTTCTTGTTGATCAACTCTTGAATTTCTCCCTTGAAGTCCCTCATGAAGGTCATGAGTTCGTCCCTTGTGATGGGAGCAGACCCATCAGTCGGCTGCTGCCGAACAGGCGGTGCGCCTGCTGGCTCACTTCCAGTTTGAAGATGTTCCCGTTCCCTCCTTTCGGTATGACGGGTACGTCGGGCCCTTAGGGTCCCGTCTGAAGCTGTGTGAGCTTCAACTTCAAATTCATTCTCAGTATCGTGGTCCGACTGAACTAGAGGGTCGTCCAGGGGACGCCTCTCTTCAGGAGCCGGTACAAACGTGGATGCCATCTCAGAAGTACTCTCCCCACAGACGGCGCCAAAATGTTTCGGGGTTTTCTGATGTCCTGCGGGAGAGTTACAATTCCGAGACTGGAACCGGACGCCTGTACCTGCAAAACAAACGGATGCTCCGGATGGTTAGAGATCTGCCTCCGACGGTCAAGTTAGTACTTGATTAAGGAGTAATTAATGCGGAAATTAAAGTGATTGGGTCTCTCTAGGTGAGAGTATTTAATGTGTGTAATCTGCGTTGTTCGCGTAATCTCTCTTAATGAGGTTTAAGGGAGGTATTTATAACCTCGAGAAACGTGCCAATCTAGGTTTAGGTTAACCTTGGGCTGATTGGGCTTCCCTCGGAAGTTGGGCCTAGGTGACCGGCTTCTCCATGAGGCATGGAGTATGCCACGTGTCATGACATAATAAGTCCAGGGTGGACGAATAAGCATGTGCCACGTGGCAAGCCCTGAGATGTCCAACTGGGGGACACTTGGCAGGACCTGATTGGCCCATGTGGCGCATTCCGATTGGTGGGAGCCAAATCCCCTAATCAAACATCATCTAACTATAACTCCAAATTTTTACTCTTCTTCTTCACCATTGCAGAGATTAGTAGTAAATAAGCACTACAAAAGAGTAGAAGAACAAAATTAAAAAAACCTAAAAATCGAATCAAATCCACTAAAAACTAACAAAAATGCACAAAAAATTAAGTAACAAACCTGAAATTAGCGAGAAACAAGTTCGCAAGTGAAAAAGAAGGTAGAAAATCAGATCAAAGCACTAAAAATTGAAGCAAAACAGATCAAATCACAAAATATTGAAGAAAATCAAGTCAAAATGGAAGAGTGAGAAAATTGAGGAAGAGAGAGAAAGTAAATTATGAGGAAGAGAGAGAAAAAAGAAGAAGAGAGAAGAAATGAAATGTGTGACGTATGAATGAAATTGGTAACAAAGTTCTTTTCTATTTGTTGCCGCCATCCGCCGTTTACAATTTAATGTAAACCGGATTTTTTAAAACATTTGTGTTTATCACTACTCTTTAGTACTAATGGTTGTTTACTCGGCAAACTTTTTTTTTTTTTTTTTTTTTCCCTACAAGACTTGGTGTGAGGAACAAAGTCAACGTTTACTGAATGATGTGTCATTGTGTCCAAACTCCAAAATCAGACCAAAAAATAATTGTAGTTGTTACGCCATCATCTTCTTTCAGCTTTCTTCAACTTCACTCACTCCATGCGCTTCTCCAACATTCTTTCCTCCAACCTACTCACTAAATCTCCAAACTTTACACTTCATACTTGATTCACCTTCAATTACAAAATCATAGTTGAATCCAACTGTTCGACCCCTTGATTTTCGGATTCAGATACCTTGTTTAAGGTCAGTTTTACTCTAATTTATGCTCAAATTTACTGTATTTAGTATGATTTGTGATATTTGATCATTGCTTAGTTAGTTGAATTAGATACTTTGGTAGCTAGAAATCAAGATCTTACTTTCTGGGTGTTTGACCAAACTCTTGAAATTAGTACTTTTGCTGCAACTGATGATTAGGGAGACTTTGAAATCATGTGAATTTGTGGATTTGAGCAACTGGGTTTTGCAAGATTAGTGGTTAATTGCATTTTTTGAAGTGGGTTTCTTTCTATTTTGGTTAATTTGTATGAATTGAATAATTGATCATGAGGGTTTTGCCAATTTGGACTCTACATGTATTATTGTTAGTGTTTATGTTGATTGGATTTACGAGTTGCGAATTCGATTTGGATTTCGTGGATGCCGAATCTGAGGTGGAAGATGATGCTATTAGAAGAGCCCCCCAATATGATCGTTTAGATGAAGTGAAAAAAGCATGTTCTAAAGTCATATCTTCTGCTACTGAACTGAAAATTGATGACAATGTAATTGATAGGATTAAGAATGAGATTTTCTTTAATAATGGAGATTGGGAGCAAGAAGGAACTAGTGCACCTTTGTTGCCATTTGATGATAGACCACCGAGAATGTCATCTAGTTATGATTATGAACTATACAACGCTTCTCGTTTGATGCCGCCGTATAAGCTTGTATCTTTCAAATTGACTGATGTTAGCAGTGCTCATCGGTCTAAAAGGATTGTAGCTGTCAATGGCTATCTTTATTTTGTGATTACCTCTAGTCTCCCTTTGGCAACTATGAGTGAACGAGTGCTTAAAGGCCCAGAATTTTCCATGTGGAGCCAACATTCTCAGCTTCTTATTAGTCTCCAAGGGGTATATGCTGAATCAAGAAAAAATGGTGGGGAGAAAATGCTGTGTTTGTTGGGTAGCACCATGCTGCCTTCCCGTCAGCCTGATTCTAGTGATTCAGGCTCAAGTGATAATCAGCCAACTCTGCTGCAGGATGAGCAAATCCTAATCGTTCTTAACATTCCAAAGAAAGCTAGTCTAAAGAACAGGGCCATTCAAGGTGAGGTGCGGAGTTTAAACTCGAAAACAAGTCCAAAGTACTTTGATAAAGTTAAAATCACATCTCAGATGCAGGCTAATGCTCGTGACTATGAATTTAGCTCTGATGAGATTATAGCAAAGGCATGTAATCCATATCCATACTCGGATACTTCCATAAGTAGCGGCATAGAGCCCTACAAGGGTGCTGATTTTTGTTCAACACTTAAAAAAAATTCCATTGATAGGGCTTTTGTAGTTGTGCCTCATTGGCAATGCAATGGCACTGATGAATTTTGTAGCAAGTTTGGTCCTTTTGCTTCAGATAAACAAATAAACAGTACAGATGGAAGCTTCAAGGATGTGAGAATTCTTGTGCACAACATTGTCTGTGTAACTAAAAAAACACAGGATAATGGTGTAATGGCAAGGGTTTCTGCAGTATTTAGAGCCTTTGATGTTCCCAACATTCTGTTCATCGAAAATCAAAGAAGTGGATTGGGAAACATGACGCTTGTTGCTGAGGAGATCTGGAATTCTTCCACTGGACAACTTTGCATGATTGGTTGCCTTGGAGTTGTGGGTGTAGAAGGTGATTACTGCAATTCTCGAATTTGTTTGTACATACCTCGGTCATTCTCCATTAAACAAAGAAGCATTCTTCTCGGTAGCATATCAAGTATCGAGACGAGTAATCCCCCTTACTTCCCTTTGTCACTTGAAATGCTTTATCAGAGCTTGGATTACATTTCTGACAGTTACAAATATGCACAGCCGTTCTATCACTATTCAAAAATTGATGCAGCAGGTGCTATACTGGAGAAGTACGAGCCTTTCAATTTTGGAACTGTCATCAAGAAATCATTGCTGACATTTCCTACACTTCAGGACTCAGAGGATTATTCTGAAAGTCTCAGACTTCTTGCAGAAGACCTTACACTTCATGTATCAGCTGTACCTGATCCTATACCTGTTTCTCAGCCATCAAGAACTGACATTGAGATGGAGGTGCTTTCTCTTGGTCCCATGTTTGGGCGTAACTGGTTCTCTAATGACTCCACGGCTAGTCTTGAAACTCCTTACCACACAAAAGCTGCTTATACTGAGAGACAGTTGCTTTTGAATGTTTCCACTCAGTTTAAGCTCAGGGGAGGACCTTATAAGAACTTTTCTATGCTGTTTCTGGAGGGTATTTATGATCAGCACGTTGGAAGGATGTATTTGATTGGTTGCAGAGATGTCAGGGCCTCATGGAAGATGTTAAATGAGAGCATGGACCTTGAAGGCAGCCTCGATTGTTTGATTGAAGTCGTTATTGCATATCCGCCCACTACAGCTCAATGGCTAGTTACTCCAACAGCTAGTGTTTCCATATCCAGTAAAAGGACAGAAGACGACCCTTTCTACTTTCAGCCAGTCAAGCTTCTCTCTCTTCCTATTATGTACAGAAAGCAGAGAGTAGATATTCTTTCTAGGAGTGACTTTGAGGGGATTCTCAAGATTTTGACCCTCTCTATTGCCATTGGTTGCATACTGAGCCAACTTATTTATACAAGAGATTCTGCAGATTCTCTTCCTTACATGTCTCTTGTCATGCTAGGAAGTCAAGTCATTGGATACGCTCTTCCTCTTGTTATTGGTGTACAAGCTCTTTCACGGAACAACAATTTGGAGGCTTCTGAAGATCTTGAGAGGAGTGAGTGGATGAAGGTAATTGACTATGTTGTGAAGCTTCTTGTGCTGGTGTGTCTTCTAATTACTGTTAGGCTCTGCCAAAAAGTGTGGATTTCTCGTGTCAAGTTACTCTCACAGAGTTCTACTGACACACACCGGCGATTCCCACTGAAAAACGAGTTCTTGTTATTACTTTGGTCATACACATTGTTGGGTATATAATTGCTTTGATTTCCCATTCCTTGAAGACTGGCCAAACGCCTACTTGGAAAGAGCAATATGTGGACACAACAGGAATCCCTCACACATTGAAGCCTTGGGAAACTCTTTTTCAGGAGTACATAGGTTTGCTTCAAGATCTTTTCCTTCTTCCGCAGTTGATTGGAAATATTTTATGGCAGATAGACTGTAAGCCTCTTCGAAAACTATATTACATGGGGATCACTATTGTCAGACTTCTTCCTCACGTGTATGATTTTATTAGAGGGCCAGTATCTAATCCGTTTTTCTCAGAGGAATACGAGTTTGTGAACCGAAATTTTGATTTTTACTCCGAGTTTGGGGACATCGCTATACCTGTTTTGGCGATAGGCCTTGCAGTGATAGTGTATATACAGCAACGGTGGCATTACGAGAAGCTTAGAAACACTTTGGCTCTAGGGAAGCATATACTTCCTTCTGGATCAAGAAAGTACGAAAGGCTGCCTACTCAGTCAGTTGAAGCTGAGCTCGTTTCCGGTACAAATAAAAGAAACGCTCAAGAGAGTGAAGAGTAATGTATGTATGATATCAGACAACTCTTACCTCCCTCACTTGTTAACTGAGTTAATTTTGTACTTTCTCCCTTATCTGATACCATGACTGACTGGTTTTCAATACATTAATATACATGGATTGGTCTCATTTAGTCTTGTCGTTTTCGAGTTTAGCATAAATTAGATCATTAGAACGCTCTGTTTGTTGAAATCTTGCTTGTTCAAGCTGTTAATTAGGCCTCATTTCTATATTGTCACAAAAATAATTGGCCATTTTCTATGATATAACAACATATCATCATTTCAAGCATATCTTAAAAGCAGGCAGTGAATTACATGATTGTTACATGATCAAAATGTTACATGATCGAGAAATCATGAATCAAACACTAGCCTGATCGATTCGAAGGCGACAATGGAACAACATAATCAACAATGACGAGAGAATCAATAGAATCCCTAACCTTATCTTTCTTATTACCAATCTCAGAATTCAACTCCAAAGAATCCAATTCATGAATCCCACCAAAAACCCCAATTGAGCAAATCTGAAACCCTTTAGCTCTTTCCGGCGAAAAATTCTCACCAACAGTTAACTGTTCAATTCCGCTAAAACTCCCCTTCAATCCGCTAATCACTTGAATCACTTCCCCCTTTTTCTCCTCTTCAACATCTTGTTTAAGCTTGATCAGCTGAACTCTAATGGCGGAACCAGGATTAACCCCAATCGGACCGTCGAGATTCTCCGCGACCCAATCGACGGCAATGAGGTCGTCGCAAATGGGTAAAACGGTGGTTCGAACAGCGGATAGATGATCGGGGTGGGAGGAGTAGTCGGCGAGGTGTTGTTTGGTGCGGTAACGAGAGTGGAGGATGTGGGTGAAGGAGAAGGAGGAAGAGCGGTTTTTGTGGAGTTTTCCGGCGGAGAGGTGGAGGACCATTGGGAGAGTGGTGAGGGAGTTGAGAGAGGTGAGCATGGTGGAGAGTTGGGTTGTGGTTGCGGTGGGTTTGATGTTGAAGAGGACGATGTGTTCGATGGTGGTGGTGGACATTGTGGTGTGGGTGTAGGAGAGAGAATGGCGGCGGAGGAGAGGGCGGCGCGTGGTGAAGTGGGTGGTGAGTGAGGTGAAGTGTTGGGGAGTGGTTGCGTACAGCATTTCGGTTTTTTGATTAGTCAGTGAGCGACTGTCAGTCTGTGTTTTTTTTTTTTGGTAAATGCACATAGAAATGTAAATTCGGTTGTTTAAAAAATAATAATAATAAAAAAAACAAGGGTCAATTCGGATTTCTAGATTGGATTCGGTGATGTTTGAGCCGGGTTGATTTTTAAACTTGAGTTATGTTAAATTCTTATGCTATTGTCAAAAAAAAATAAAAAAATCTTATGTTCTTATAATCAAAATTTGAATTGGATTAACTTAATTTCAGCTCAGTTCAGAAACCTTTTATGGGTCAGTTTCAGATCGGGTCAAGTCGGTTGTGTTTTTGACACTTTTATGGTATCAAAAACTAACTCAATCAATTTGATTTAAAATCAACTCATTTCAGGTTTCATTTTGTATCTTATATATTCCCTCCGTTTTTAAATACTTGCTCCACTTTTCTTTTCCGGCCGTTTTTAAATATTTGCTCCATTTCCTTTTTTTGAAAGCATTTACAATATTTAATTCATTACTCACACTTAGTGGACCCAACATAATACTCTCTCTCCTCCTATTCTTCCACTTTTTTTGTTTTTTACAATTTTTTATTTTCTCAACTATCCCACACCTTCATATTTTATTACTTTTATCCAATTTCTCCTAAAACTCCGCGCATGGAGAAATGGAGCAAGTATTTAAAAACGGAGGGAGTAGTTATATAGGGTATGTATAACTAATAGTCTAGTAGAATCAAACACCTGATTGACCTGAATGTAACACCTATAGTTTCTGGTAGATTGCCAAGTGCAGTGACATGTTGATCTACTGTTACTCAACAAGTCAATGGTTCTTTTAAAAAGTAAAAAAAAATTACCAGGTACTCACTGGTGTTAGAACTTAAGATTAAGAATTAAATTAAAGGATTTGTACGTGTTGTAGTATAGGTTAAGTAGAAGGTTCAAATTTTACACACTATTAACAAATCATTTTAAAAACGCTCAGCCACATTTAATAGATGGTCATTATTGAAGTAAGCAGCACTAAACCACTAGTAGTAGTCAGCCAATAGGCAGTGTTGGGGAATTTATTTCATGAATTGAACCTTGTTTTGGACTTGGTCGGTCATCATAGGTTATTAGGTTGTTAGCTGTTTTGAGTATTACCGTGTTGTTAGCTTGTTGTAGAAATGTTGTTGTTGAGGTAATAACTGAATTCACATTGCAACTTTTTCTTCTTCTAGAACTTTGACTTGCAAAGTGGCAACCTACCATATCTTTCATAACTTGAGTCGCTGACCATTTGTAAATTGTGTTGACAACATTAAATAATTAAGCCCAATGAGTAAAAAATAAGATTCTGTTAAATATGCATAAAATCAAACATATTTCTCCTTTAAGAAAATATGAATATGATAAGAAGTTTGAAAAAGAAAGATTAGGGATTATTAAGCATACATGGGTCAATGTGTGATTTTGTTATAATTCTCAAATTTAACTACAACACATATAAGGCTCGTGGATGTATGTATCATAGATGAAAAAAGAAATTTGTTTGAAGTAGCTCATCACTCTAAAAATGTAGCTCATGACCCGAATCAATTATAATCCGAAACTACATTTTCCATTTTGGGACCCTATTTCTCCAATTTCTCAACTTAAGAGATATGAACTAAAAGGCCCAAACAAGTAAGACCCTTAAACTCATAGCCCAAACAAACAACTTTAGCTACTTTACTTCAACATCCCAAATCAATCATCTAACAATCCCATATCCAAAACCAACAAACTTAAAGATAACAAAATCCATCCATTCATTCATCCACTCATCAAACTAACAAACCAAAACTAAAAAAAAAAAAAAACAATGAACACCTCTAAATTCCTCCACACCCAAGTCTTAAAATCACCATTAACACCCCTTATTCAATTCTCACAACCAAGATCACTCCCAAGAGTTCATCTCCCTCGTATTCGCAGCACGAGCAATGGCCAAAGCAACAACGAACAACCAACATCAGTTCCTCCATTAACACCGCCGGAAACGGTGGAGATAAAGTTCCGTAGAGGATCAAGAAAGCGGAGACGACAACAAGAATCCGGTGAAACACCAATGATGAAGGCAGTGGCAGATAATAAGAAAAAATGGGAAGAAATGAGTTTGTCTGAAAAAGCAATAGAGTTGTATATGGGTGAAAAAGGGTTTCTTTTTTGGGTTAATAAATTTGCTTATGCTTCTATTTTTATTATTATTGGAGGTTGGATTTTGTTTAGGTTTGTTGGTCCTTCTTTGAATCTTTATCAGTTGGATACTCCTCCTCTTTCTCCTCAAGATGTGCTCAAGGGTTAATTTAATTAGAGGTTAATACAAGATTAATTATGGGTTATAATCATGATTATGTCTTTTTTATTTTGTTTTTATGTATGTTTTGTACCTCGATTTTGTAATGTCATCATCAAACAGAAGATGATATATAGTCATTAGTTAAGAGGCAATAAAAGTGGGAGATTATACTTTACTTTTGGCATTTTAAGTTTGTAATTAATGCTGAAAAAAAAAATGTTAACACTCCGTGATTTATATGATTGGACTCGAAAAAAATGTTCAAAAGATTAAATTATATTGATGCGATTTCATTTTATCAAAAAAAAAATATTGATGCGATTTCACGAGTATATATAGTACATGAGTAAGCAATATAATACGACTAGATATATTTGAGTACTTGTCTAGGTACATTGACTAAGAATAAATGATATCTTTGACCATCAACCTAAAGAGTATCAAGGAATAAATAAAGGGATTATTATCCTTTACAATTTTAATGTAATAATTTACTCTCGTGTTAGTTTGACCCAATTTGAATTTAAATCTGAACAGTTTCAGCAAAATTATTTGATCGTATTTTCTAGCTAGTGTATTAATTAATATACGCTCTAGTCTTTAGCTTTGTTCCGTACATTCTTTTAATTAAACTACGGAGTATGACTTTTTTTTTTTTTTTTTTTGGGACAGAACTATGAGTCTATGACTCTCTTAAAAGGAAGGAAGTATGAGCAATTTCTAGATCCTAATTAGCATCTTCTGGGTGGGGGATTTGCGTACACACAACAAAAAAAGGACTTTGAATAATTACTAAAATTTAGTTAAGAATTTACTTTGAATATTTTTTCAAAAAAACATAGGCCAACATCAGCTTAAATCTCTTTCATGTAGGGCTTCAACATAGCAAAACCATAAGCACACCACTGACCACCTAAACTTACATTCTTGGACGAATTCCTAAACTTGTTACACCACGCTTGGAAAATAATGTCCTGTGTCAAATTCTATGGAACCTTAGCTAAAAAGGCTCGTTTATTATGAAAACAAAAATAAAAGAATTGACTTGTGCATGACTAATTTTAGTTCATTCCCGTAAAAAAAAATAAAAATAAAAAAATAAAAAATAAAAATAAAAATAAATTAACAAGTTTTATTATATCTAATTATTAAAAACTAAAAACTAAAGTTCATTGATAGTGATACCAAATAAGCCTCAAGTTACGGTCTTTATTTCTAGTTGCCTAAATGTATGTCAATGTCTTATAATTGATTCATCAATTGTTAGTCAAATAACACCCTTTATATGGATGTACACCATGATGAGCACTATTCAAGTGAATGAACGGTCTATTTGCATTGTAAAGTGTTTTCTAGTCAACAAAAATAAATAAAATTAGGAAGCTAGTTTTCGGAAACCGTTACAAAGTACTTAGAAAAGTAAAGAAATAGTTGTTTTCTTCATGAATGATTATGGGAGCCGAGGTATCAAATCACAAGAAAGAACACCATTCACTTTGTACATTATAACACTTGAAAATAACATCTAGCATCAAAATCACTCAAAGATAACATAAGAAAGTCCACAATTCATCATCACTCCACAAAAACACACATCACAAATATGGGTGTGACAATTTTTTCTACGCATGCAATTGAAAATAACAACCACCTATAGTAAATCCACTATGTAGAGTAACGGTCCATCAACGTTCTTATTAATCTTAGAGATACTTTCAACTACCTTAATTATTTTTTCACAAGATTACAATTAAATTAATGCTTGGTAAAATTGGGCCACTAGGAAATGGTCGTCGACCTAAAAACATTCTTGTGTACCATTATAATTTATATTAAAATATATGAAATTTATGATGATTTGGAATCTAGGATGATATATTAGGTGCCAATCAAACACGGTATAAAATGAAGAAAATTCTCTTAGGTAAACTAATCAAATGTTTGAAGAATGTTAGGTTGTGAGATTGGAAGATGTGAACTCTTTTGTCATCTTATGAATGCTTATTAGTTCAACAGTTCAATCCACTAGGCTATTTTGCTAAGTGGATATAGCCATATAGGCCCATTTACAAAATAATATTCTCCGTCACCTAGGGGTGCTAAATTGCTACTAGTCAATCGATGACGAGCTGGGGAATGCTCAACTCGACTCAGAAACTTTTTACATGTGTTCAAGTCATGCTCGCTAAAATTTCAAATTAATAAAGCTTCCTCAACTCGTGCTAGTTAAAGTTTCGAGTCGAGTAGCTCACAATTTGCTCGTTAAGGTTTTGGTCATGTTAAAGATTATAGGCCTTTATTTATTTTTGTTTACTTTGCATAGTTTATTTTCATTTTTATTTATTAATTATTAAAGATTTACTCTTTCTTTTTTTATAATATAAATTAAGTCTTATTAAGTGTCAAATTATTTTAAACATGGTAACTTCTATTTCGTATATGTTAATAAAATATATAATCGAATTGCTCACAAGCTTATCGTGTCGAGTTAGACCTTGCTCAACTCGTGCTCGTTAACATCGCGAGTCAAGCCGAACTCGAGCAACTCAAATTCACCCCTAGGCTCACCCTATTTTAAGTAGGGGTGTCAATCGGGTTTTCGGTTCAGTTTTGGGTTCGGTTTATCGGTTTTCGGTTTGTAACGGGTCGGTTTTTAACGGGTTAGTTCGGGTCGGTTTTAAATAATTTCGGGTCAATTCGGTTTGGTTTATTTTAATTACAGTTTTTTTCGGGTCGGGTTATAATTGGTTCGGGTCATAATCGGTTCGGGTTAATTTCGGTCGGTTTAAAAATGGGGTTTGTCAGTTTAAAGCGGGTTTTGAATCAACACATATCGGGTCCTAATCGGGTCGGGTTGTAATCGGTTCAAGTTGAACTTAGTCGGTTTGACTACTAGTTTTGCCAGTTTTAAACGAATTTCGTTAACATATATCGTATATCCTCAATATTCTTTAATTAGTTATTCAGTAGATCATACGCAGTATTAATTAGTTGTTTAACTTTATGTCCCTTTTTGTATAATGATTTTAAGGATCAAATAATACTAACAAATCTAGAGCTAGCTTTTGATTTAGATTTTTAATTATTTTAATACAATATAGTGTTCCATAAGTCATTACTCGTTAGAGGACGATAATGTTGTAGCATAAGAGTTTTAATGACATCAAAATTCCAAACCTCTTCAATATAAATACTTTATAGTTCAAATTAAACCCTTTTGTTTTACTATCGATAAAATATACCAAAAAAAGAGAAGAAAAAAAATCTACGATCATAACAATTTACGGACTTACGGATTATAAACGGTTCGGTTATAACCGATTACGATTTGTAAACGGTTCGTTCATAACTTATCACAGGTTATAAACGGTTAAATCCTAACCAGTTACAGGTTGTAAACGATTTGGGTTTACCGGGTTTTTGTTGGGTTTAAACGATTTTGGTTTATAATGGGTCAGGTTGCTATCGGGTTCAAAAGTAATCGGTTCGGGTTGTTCTAGGTTTCGGGTTGTATCAGTTCGGCTTGATATCGGGTACGGTTCATTAACGGTTCTCAAACATTCAGATCGGTTCAGTTTCAGGTTTTTAAAAATCCGGTCGGGTCAGTTTACGATTTTAAAATAACAGGTTCTTAGCGGTTCGGCTTCTTCTTGGAACAGTTCAAAACGGTTCGGATTCACCAGTTCGGGTCGGTTTTTGACAGCTCTGATTTTAAGTTTTTAACTACTGTATTTTAAATGTCATTTTCCGGATTTGGTTCGTCACATTTTCATAAGAAATTTTTAAAAAAAAAATCCATTTATAAAAAGTACATATTATATATATATACCTCTAATAATTGCTCATGTCTATCAATCTAACTAACTAAACCAAACTGCCCTTACTTATTCCCTTTTGTACTCTTTCTTTGAGCCTAAAGATTTGTAACAAGCTTAACATTTGACACTTAGATTAAGATAGAATGTATATATAAGAATGGTGATTTCTCTTTTCTAATCCGATGGAACATATTATCACCTTAATTAGACCTTAGTACGTTAGACACCAAGACAGTAAGACCTAAGTCACACCTTTGACTACTTGACTGCTTCACCAATTCAATTCTTTAGTGTATCAATGAGAAAAAATCCTCAAATAAAGGACATAGCAATAACACTCAAAAATCTACTACATGTGTGAAAAATTTTAAAATAGACTGATGTAAAAACCTTAGATATCTTAAATGAGAATTACAACTCTCAACATTTAGTAATAAACTCACACAGGAGGTGATACTAATAAACTTTTGGTGTAATATAATGCATGATAAAGACTGATGACGTGTGTATAATAAGTCACGAATTTAGGAGTAATACTAGGAGTCTAGGATCACATTTATTGGCGGATCAATTCCAAAATTGTTGCCTAACACCTCGTATAACTTGGTTTTTTCTACTTCTGCTAATAGTTATCTGCAATTTTAGGGTATTATTTGTGAGATATAAAATATTCAAAAATTGCAGATAGCCATTAACGGAAGTAGTATATCAGCACAAAAGTTAACAAATCTATTGCAAGAGAGGTCATTATCTAGTTTAGCAATGTGCACAATAAGTAACTATACATATAACATCTACCTCTAGCAACAAGAAGACCGCATAGCGCAGTGGATTAGCGCGTTTGACTTCGGATCAAAAGGTCGTGGGTTCGACTCCCACTGTGGTCGATTCCTTTTTTATTTTTTTTATTTTCATGATCAATATTTTTGTATGTCTGTTTTTTTATTTTCAGCGGGTGATGGGAATCGATTTCAGGATCACTTGGGATCGAGAGGGGAGCTCTAACCACTTGAGCTATCCCTCACTCTCAAATAACAATTAGCGTTAACAATTAAATAGTGACATAATGTACCGTAGACTCACAGAGATAATGTAACATATAATATAAATTATTAATAGTTGATGCTAATTAATAAAGTTGATTACTATTCAAAAAAATAATAATAATAAAGTTGATCCATGATGCACTAAACTTTCTATTTACATATAATACATTACTCCATCATACTATAAAAAGGAATTAAAACTAGTTGACTACCGAGTAGAAACCAATAAGATAAGATATACAATTAACATAATATAATTTACTCAATTAACCTTGTTTGTATGATCATTTATCAGAAGGTCCAGTAACAGC